TACATATTGTCATGCAGTGTAGTTTCCATTATGTATATAGGCCAGACGACATTGATTTTATGGGAGGCTGAGGGTTGATTACCGACAAAGGCTAAGAGTAGGAAATTTTGAAATAAAAGGGAGACAGAATATTTCAATAGTTTCTTTTAAAACTACATATTGAGCACGCGCAAATTAAAACGCTATGTTCAGGTCTATATCGCCAGGTAGGGTCATGACATAAAATCGATATTCTGTTTAAAATCGTTTGTTTAATACTTCAGAGGAGATGATCTAAAGGCAACCAATAATTATATTAGTCTTCTGATCAGGCTTTATAAAGCAAAATTAAACTCTCAGGCGGTAGATGGATGAGGAGAAGAGAAAATAATGGGGTATTACTTTTTTCTTGGCGAGGAATAACCTAAGAGGGAGTAATCCACCATGGAATGAAGGAGGATAAGTTTCTAAAGAAACTGATGTGCTGCGTCGGTGGGGGTAACAAGGTAATCCGGTTATATCAAGTGAGTTGAAATTATAAATTGGCCAACGTAAAGAGTTAAAAAGCTAACGTTTCTAGGGTTAGCCCTTCGTCAGAGCGAATGCAGGAATTGTGGGTTGCGTGTGGGTTTACTGCAGAAAGTGGAGCTGCGCTATTGGTGGGAACATGGTGACGCGAAAAACACGAATAGATTAGTAGAATGAAAAGCGTTCGTTGACACCTATGGGGTTAAGAGCGCCGATTTAAAGGATAAGCTTTTGTTCAAGAGTTTTGCGTTGAATAAGACTGATTCCATGTTCCATTTCAAATTATTTGAAATTTAATTCCTTGCATATGACGTTCTTTATACCTATATATACCTGAGGGTGTACAACCGCAAAACATCTGCAAAAAATTCCCTCTGGCTAAATCTTGTAATATTCTTACAATAAAACAACATCTCCAGTTTTGACAATTCTTTTAGGCCGGGTCCACGTAGTTCTCGCATGCAACTGCTGGAGAAATTTTTTACTCCACCTTGAATCAAAATCTTATGCTAAATGCTGTGCATGTCTCCATTTCTTCTTAAAAACTCTCCGAGTGGAGTCAGCACAAGCTTTCCCTGGCGATGCAGACGGTCCCGAAAGAGGGTCATTGAGTGTCTCTTAGGTCAAGGGTCTGTTGTCAATTATGAACTCAGCTTCACACAGGAACTTTCTCAGCGATTATTCGTCTAAACCATTTCCAGGTTCCTTCATGGGATCGTTTGCCTTTCCCAGACACCTCCGAAGTGGCTGGCAGATGCCTGCTTTTTAATTCAATCGATTTTAGCCTCAAGGAGGCTGCCTTATTCATGTTATCATTCATTTCTTCTTTAGCCTTGTTAAGCTCGGTTTTCGCGCCAATGAAATTTCCTCTGTCACGCAGCATTTTTTAACAGGTCCTCTTCGATAGATGAATCGTCTCAGTACCTGTATGAAAGAATCGATTTCGCGGGAGTCTGCTACCTCTATATGTACTGCTCTGCTACCATGAAAGTGAAAAATGCTCCATATGTTTTCACGACAGATCCTCCTGTCAAATATGCCAAGGACCCTAGAAATCTGTACCACAATATGTAAAGAGGGGTGTAGATCCACGCGCGACTTTGGTAAGTCAAGAATTCCTCTGCTGTCCCATGGTATCTCGGAGATAACGACATGTGGCACCAGTGTGTTTCCGCTGATAATCCAATAGCTACTGACACATATTTCGCTCAAGGTGATCCCTCTTCCACTATTCTTCCATCTGTGTGAAGTGACATGACTTGACTCTGGCAGGAAGATCGGGGTCTTAAGAGGTTCTGACAGATCTGCCTTCCGAAGGTGTCCACCAACTCTTATAACAACGTCTCTGTTTAGATGTGGATCCAGTTTGTAAAGGGACCTTGCCTTCCTTAACACACTCTTCTTTTCTTTGTCCAGTGCACGACTACCCTACTTGGCGTTTGTTTGGATGTTTGAGAGACTTCTAATTTTTGAAGGAAACACTACTCTTTACAATTGCTTTATTATCTCTACTTCGGCTTCCTCCAAGTCGGCGACGCTGGGTCCTGAGTTAGCAGAGGTTTCCTTGGTCGATCCATGCTCGGATGTACCATCACTGGGCTCCTTCCCTTTGGATAAGACTTTAATTCTAAGTTTTCTCTTGTGTCTCAAACAAAGCACTACAGCTATCTTTCTGCAAACTTGAAAGTCTCCTTAATCTCTTGAGGATGTCGAAACTCTCTTTCACCGTACTTGTATTAACTGGAATTCTCTTGACCTCTGGAGAATCGGGGTCTACGTGTTTTTCGTAGTTCTATTCCTCAAACCGGCTGTCTGTAGGTTCTCTGAGTGAGTCAGAAAGCCTTAATCCACTCTGATTTTTCTACAAAGTCTTTTGGTGACATACCCCTTAAACCTTCGTCTACGATATTTGACGTAGAGTCTACGTACGGCCCCTGTGCCGGGGTTGTGGGATCATAAATGAGTTGAACTCTACTGGCTTCATGGACATGAAAACGACTGGATTCGTTGCTTATAAATCTCCGAGCGACTTTACTGTCAATCAGATAGTAGTCCTTCAAAATGTCACCAATCTTAATAGATTAAGTGGCAACCGCCAGTTCCAGCCTCAGGGATGCTGATTGTCTGCTTTGGTTTCACGCGAGCCTTTCGCATAACAAACGAAACGGTGTTCTCGAGGACTTGAGTTACTGATGTTTCCGTGTTTTGCACAGAATGATTGAAGTTGAATCCTCCGTTTTCAAAAACTGGCTTGTCATCCTTTTCTAGTTTAATAGCTTCGTCTTCGGCGCTCGCCGATTTAAGAACATCGTACATTAGGACAGCCGACACCCTTGTAAGGGTGTCGGCTGTCCTAATGCTATACTCAACTCCATTGTCATCAGCCGTATGTGTGAGAGCATGGTTAGGATATGCAGGGGACGACACTGCGTCGAATAAGTATCCTGCAATATTCTCCCACCTTCTTTTCCATGTCTCCGTCTGGCCACCACAGAAACTTGAGAAAGTTTTGATCTACCTTTCTCACCTTTACCTGAAAGAATATCTGTTCTGCGTCTGTATTAAAGGCGTACTTCTCTTATCGTAATCTGGTTAGAGCGTCAACTAAGTTG